GTAAACCTAAAATATCCTAAATCAAGATTTATCTCTAAGAAGCCCCAGGAATTAAGATTTTTTTTTTTTCAAATTTAAAGCAAGTGATCAAACTCTATGTTTCTTTGAATTAAGACTTGCGACAAACCTTAAAAATTTCTTTTCTTGTAATTTTATATATATATATTGTAAACATCTAGATGACAAATAATTTACTTTTTTTAAACATTTTATAACATGCCCTAAGTCTAGATGTAAATACGACAACAATGAAATAATATGGAAACTAAAAAAAATAATAAAAAAATAAATGATTTGTGATCTAGTTGTTTACAATTGAAATAAAAAAAAATGATTTGTGATCTAGTTGTTTACAATTTAAAAGGAAAGAAAGAAAAAGAAGATTAAAATCATAAAATCATGTTAAAATATCTTTAAAAGCGAGTAAACATCCAAACAAGGTGATGATTCGAGATTAAATTCTTTTGAAGAGATATGAAATGATATAAATCAGCAAACATCACTAAAGAACTTATTAGATGTGCCATCTATTACAAGGGTAGTAGCTAAGAAGGTTAAAAGGGCATTCAAAAGGTTAATTTAAGATTCTTGGGTCTTACTTCTTATAAGACTTACAATTTCAACTTATTTTCCCACTTATACATAAATTAAGCTAATTTCTTCTAATATACAGTTTTACTTTAGAAAGCATGATTTTTTATCAGACTATTAGATCATGTTAAAAATTTACTAGAAGTTTTTAGAGGTTTTGTTTTATAATAGGTTGAAATTTCAGGGCAATCATATATCGATAACACTTTGTAATAGATCCATAAGCGATTATATAAGAATTATATTAGTTTTCTAGTGTTCATGTTTCTGAATCATAACAATTTAAGGACATCTTTCCTGATAAGATTCTTAGTGGGTTGCCATTAACTAAAGAATTGAGCATTAAATGGATTATGTACCTAGAGCATCTAGCTAGCTTATAAAAGTAATCTTGAGGTGACTAGGGAACTTCAAGAGCAAGTAGAAGAATTGATGCCAAAAGGATACATAAGAGAGAGTATGAGTTCATGTGCAATTTGAGTGTTTTTAGTGTATATAAGAAAAAAAGAGAATGAGACTTAGAGGATATGTATTGTTTATCAAACCATCTAAAATATTATGGTAAAGTATAAACATTCAATTTATAGATTTGATGATATTTTAAATAAATCATGTGGATTTTATATGTTTTTGAAGATTGATTTGAAAAGTGAATATCATCAAACAAGATTGAAAGTGGGAGAGATGAATGAAAAACTGCACTTAAAACTAAATATTGTTTGTATTAGTGGTTAGTTATGCATTTTATACTTACTACTGCACCTAATACTTTTATAAGATTAAAATATGTTTTGCCTACATTTATAGGTAAGTTTGTTATAGTTTATTTTGATGATATTTTAATTTATAGTAAGAATTTAGAGGAGCATATTGAATATTTAAATATGCTAATCCAAACAAGTATGATTTTTGCATGGAAAAATTGTATTTTTTGGATATGTTGTTAGTACAAAAGGTATTGAGATGGATGAGAAAAATATTTGGGCTATCCAATAATAGCCTCTACTTAAGTTTTATGGTTTGACTAGTTTTTATAATAGATTTGTTAAGGATTTCAATGCTCTAGCCACACCTTTAACTAAGATAGTTAAAAAAATTTATGGATTTTAAACGGGGTAAAGATTAAGGAAATGCTTTTAATTTATTAAAGAAAAAAATTAATTTTAGCTCCATTGTTATCATTGCCTGATTTCACAAAAACTTTTAAGATTGAATATAATGCTTTAGGGATAAGTATTAAAGATGTTTTAATATAGGAAAAAGGCCTATACCATTTTTTAGCAAAAAACTCAATAATGCAACATTGAATTATCCTACTTATAATAAGGAGTTTTATGCTTTGTTAAGAACTTATATATGATCATAAGTTATTAAAACATCTTAAGGGCTAAGGAAAGTTGAACCGTCCGTATGCCAAGTGGGTAAAGTTCATTGCAACATTCCATTACATAATTAAGTACAAGAAAGGGAAAACATAGTGGTTAATGCCTTATCGTGAAGGTTTGTACTTCTTTCAACTTTAGATACTAAATAATTAGGATTTGGGCAAGTGAATGGTTTATATATTAAAGATGTTGATTATAGCCAAGTATATGTTGCACGTAAATATTCACCCTTTAATAAGTTTTATAAGGTTGATGAATATTTATATAAAGAAAAGAGATTGTGTTTGTTTAATTATTTTATGCGTGAATTGCTAAGCTTATAAAAACGGATTGATAGGGCGTTTTGGGATTGCTAAGACTTTAAATGTTTTGTAAAGCACTTTATTGATCTAAAATTAAAAGAGATGTGTAAAGAATTTATGATAGATGCATAATATGTAGACAAAGCTAAGTCTAAAATTTTACCTTATGGTTTATATACTTCTTTGCTAGTGCCTAAGAAACATTAAATTGATATATCTATAGGTTTTGTGCAAGGTTTGTCTAGATTAAAAAGGGGTATGAATTTTTTTATATGTATAATTATGCATTGGTTTTTTAAGATGACATATGTCATACATTATCATAAAACTAATAATATGATTAACATAATGAATTTATTTTTTAGAAAGATAGTTCAACTCCATAAGGTACCCAAAAGCATTGTGTATGATTAACATAATGAATTTATTCTTTAGGAAGATAGTTTGACTCCATGAGGTACCTAAAAACATTATGTCTGACCATGATGTTGAATTTCTTAGCTATTTTTGAAAAGTTTTGTGGGGGGAAATTAAGAATAAAATCGTTATTCTCTACTATTTATCATGCACAGATAGATAATTAAACTTAAATGGTTAATAGGGCTTTAACTCCATTGTTAAGAACTATCATTCAATTTTTTTTGAATAATTAGCTAAATTGCCTCATATTTATTGAATTTGCTTATAATAAGAGTGTGTATTCTATAGGATTATTCTTATTTTGAAATTATCCATTACTTTAATCCTTTGACTACTTTGGATTTGTTTCTGTTACCTATTAATGAAAGGGTTAGTCTTGATAGCAATATAAAATCACAAGTAGTAAAGGCTCTTTATGAGAATGTGAGGCGGAAAATACAAAAAAAAAAAAGAGTAGTATGCTTTTAGAGCTAATAAAGGATAAAGAAAGGTTATTTTTGAATTAGGTGATTGGGCTTAGGTGTATATGCAAAAAGAAAGATTTTCTTAGCAAAAAAAGATCTAAGTTGATGCTTATAGGAGATGAATCATTTCAAATCCTTGATAAAATTAATGATAATGCCTATAAAACAAATTTACTAGGTGAGTATAATGTTAATGCTATTTTTAATAGGTTTTTTTTTGTTTGATTTAGGTGATGATTCATGGATGGATGTTTTTTATGAGAGAGGAGATGATACGATCGGGATTACATCAAAAGACCCATTGCATGTTCCAATTGGTCAATTACAAGATGAATGGCAAAAAAGCTCAAAGATTCATTCAACAAGCTTATTCAAAGTATTTGGGCCAAAGTGAATTTTAAAAAGGCTACATCTTTAACAAATAATGATCAAACATTAGTCAATTTAATTTATGTATAAGAGGGGCTTGATTCATTTACTTCATGGCTAATTAATTTCGACAATTAAATGCTTATATTTTCTAGTGTATAGTTTTACTCTAACTTAATAAAGAATTAATCGAGCTTCATGGTGTCTTTTATATTTCTCATTTGCATCTTAATTATAGATGTTGAGTGATAATTGATTACTTATAGTCTTGGTGTCTTGGTACATGTTATCATTGTGTCAAACTTAATCACAAGTCTAAATCTAGCTTTCTTGGAAAAGATCAATTTCTAGATTTTTATATTTTTAAAGTTCGCGTTACTCTTTGACATCTTCTTCACAAGTATACACTTTTATGCAGGGTTGACATCATCTTTTCTACCCAATGATCGATAATGCAAACACAAACTACTTTTTATGTAAATTAGGTTTCTTATTTCTTAACCGATGATTATTTCTAGTAAATGTATCACTACTAATTACCCACTTCTCAATAAATAGAGTGAAAAACACTACACTTAATGGTGAAGACTAATATTTTCAACAATTGTGAAACTCTGCATATCCTAATATGAGCGTGACCAAGGTCTATAAATATCTTGTGATAAAATTTTTAAATTTAATACTTTTCTACACTTATATTTTCTCATATATTATTTTTATATTTTCGTTTATTAATTTAAGTATAGTAAAGTTCTTTATTTCATAAAAAACTTATTTTTTAATGAATGAGCAAGCATATAACCAAGCTCAAACATTAAGCATATAATCACATTTTAACCTAAAATCACAATTCATGGAAGCTCATTTTCTATTAAGAGTTTCTCCATAACTTCATCATAATAATCATGCATAACTAAAATTCAACATCCTTAATTGTTATAAGCAAATTTAATAGTTGGTTACCCTCCCACTCCTTCCTCCATTATATGAACCCAACAAAAAAAAAAATTGGAAAATTGAGGAAAATTTGAATGTAATAATATTATACATACCTTATTTTACAATATATTACAAGTAAATAGCAATTTATGGATTCATTTTGAAAAGAAAAATATATATAATGAAAAATAAAAATAATAATCAGTTCCAAAAAATAAAAATAATATTCCTATATAGATTTAAAAATAAATTTTTAATTTCTCTATAAGTATTATCATTCTTCATAAGGAAATACTTTATAAAAATCATGGCAAAGCTATATCCCTTGAAATTCAAAAAACTATTTTTGTTTTTTTTTAGAATTCCCCAAAATTTCAAAAATAAAAAAATATATGACTCATTTTTTTCTTAATTCCAAATGTAAGAAATTAAGAAAACAATTTTCTTTCTTCATATTTTTCCTGAAAAATAAAATTTCATTAATGTATATTATATAGACCAATTTGAAAAATACAAAAACTCCACATTTCCCCGCCCATACAAAGAAACCCGGACTCTCAACTCCCAATACCCTCACTCTCCCTCCTCTACTACTCTCTAAAAAAAAAAAAAAAAAAAAAAATGAAAAAAAAAAAGAACCGGCAAAACATCCTAGATCTGGTCAAAGAATTAGTCAATCGCTTACTCTCACAAAACCCTCAAAACCCTAAACCCCCAATTTCTAACCCTAACTCTCCTGATTTCCAAAATTCTCTTCGCTACGCAATCCGCATTCTCTCCAGCAGATTAACCCCATCGATTGCCCCTGATGCCGCCTCAATCTCTGAATCAATCAAGCGTGGTCTTGCCACTCAAGGTAAATCCTCCCAAGCTCTCACTTTCGCTGAGTTATACAACAAATTTGCATCGAAAACGGGACCGGGAAGTATTGATAACAAATGGGCAGTTCTTTATTTGCTTAAAATCATTTCTGAAGATACAAAAATTGCACAAAATGCTCCAAATTCCACGCTTTTGTTACCTAATTTGGGGTTAAATGAGCTTGATTTGAGCAATGAATCGCGGATTTCCCGTGATTTTAAGAGAAGGGAAAAGGGTTATGATAATGGGGTTTTGTTGGTTAGTAAAGATCCGGAGAATTTGCTTGAAATCGCATTTAGAGAGTTCGTTAATCTGGTGAGAGAGGAAAATGAGGTGTCCGAAGAAGTTTTAGTGAGAGATGTGTTATATGTTTGTCAAGGGATTGATGGGAAATACGTGAAGTTTGATGCAAATGTTGATGGGTATGTTTTATCAGATTCAATCAAGGTTCCAAGAGGTACAAGGGTTATGGTTAGGAAGTTGTGTGAGTTGGGGTGGTTGTTTAGGAAAGTTAAAGGGTATATTTCAGAGAGTATGGATCGGTTTCCAGCTGAAGATGTGGGAACTGTAGGGCAGGCATTTTGTGCTGCGTTACAGGATGAGCTTTCAGATTATTATAAGTTGTTGGCTGTGCTTGAAGCGCAGGCAATGAATCCAATTCCGTTGGTTTCAGAGTCAACTAGTTCGTGTAATTATTTATCATTGAGGAGGTTGTCAGTTTGGTTTGCTGAGCCAACACTGAAAATGAGGTTGATGGCTGTTTTGGTTGATAAATGCAGAGTCTTGAGGGGTGGGGCCATGGCTGGGGCTATACATTTGCATGCCCAGCATGGCGATCCATTGGTGCATGAGTTCATGAGGAGTTTACTGCAGCATGTTTGTTCACCACTTTTTGAAATGGTTAGGAGTTGGGTTTTGGAAGGGGAGTTGGAGGATATTTTTGCTGAGTTCTTTGTTGTGGGTCAGCCAGTGAAAGCTGAATCACTTTGGAGAGAAGGTTACAGGCTCCATGCTGGAATGCTTCCTTCATTCATTTCACAACCCCTTGCTCAGCGCATTTTAAGGACTGGGAAGTCAATAAATTTCCTTCGTGTCTGTTGTGATGATCGTGGTTGGGCTGATACTGCAACCGAGGCTGCTGCTGCTGCTGGGACCACTACTAGAAGAGGGAGTCTTGGATATGGTGACACTGATGCACTTGAAACTCTGGTTGTTGAAGCAGCAAAGAGAATTGACAAGCATCTGTTGGATGTTATGTACACGAGGTATAAATTCAAAGAACACTGCCTTGCAATCAAGCGTTATTTACTGCTGGGGCAAGGTGATTTTGTCCAGTATTTAATGGATATTGTTGGGCAGGAACTTTCTGAGCCTGCTAATACAATTAGTTCATTCCAGTTGGCAGGGTTGCTGGAAAGTGCAATTCGATCATCCAATGCTCAGTATGATGATCCTGACATATTAGATAGGTTGAGGGTGAAGATGTTGCCGCATGGTACTGGAGATAGAGGTTGGGATGTATTCTCCTTGGAATATGATGCCAGAGTACCATTAGACACAGTGTTTACAGAATCTGTTATGGCAAGATATTTAAGAATTTTTAATTTCCTGTGGAAGCTGAGGCGAGTGGAGCATGCACTTATTGGTGCGTGGAAGACAATGAAACCTAATTGTATTACTTCTCATTCTTTCACCAAGCTGCAGCATGCAGTTAAGTTGCAGTTACTCTCAACACTGAGACAATGCCAGGTCCTTTGGAATCAGATGAATCATTTTGTAACAAACTTGCAATATTATATCATGTTTGAAGTTCTAGAGGTTTCATGGTCTAACTTCTCAAATGAGATGGAAGTAGCGAGGGATCTTGATGATCTACTTGCAGCACATGATAAGTACCTCCACTCAATTGTAGAGAAATCTCTTCTTGGTGAACGATCTCAATCCCTTTACAAGTCACTATTCGTCTTGTTTGACCTTATACTGCATTTCAGAAGTCATGCAGATCGGTTGTGTGAAGGAATTTACGAGTTACAAGCAAGGTAAAAATCTGCTGTGTTTTTTAATGATTTTGTTTTGTCAATGAACGTTTGCATGCATGTTTTTGAAGTGAAGATCTTAATACTCATATCAATTGACAAAAACAATGCTATTTTTTTAATATATTTTTTTCTTTTCTTTTATGCTCGTGTTGAACCACTCTTGATTCCTATTACATGCAGAACCAGGGCATCCTCTCTATCCTCTCAAGACAAGACAAAATCACGAAGGCAGACAAGAGATAATATGTCGGAGCCTGGATCGTGGTTTAGTGATGGCAGGAAGGCCCTAGAACAACGTGCTGGTGAATTTCTTCAAAATATGGGGCAGGAACTGGAAGCAATATCAAAGGAATATACTGTGTTGCTTGAAGGTTTCTTGTCTCAGTTGCCTGTGCAGCAACATGTTGATTTGAAATTCCTCTTCTTTCGGCTTGACTTCACTGAATTTTATAGTAGGTTGCGTCCTGGCACATGGCAAAACTGTTAATACACCTGAGTTTAATCCAATTTGCAACTCAAGGCATGAACAGAATGCAGTTATTTGCTGGACCTTAAGTGAAGAATTATGCAATGTCATGCTGATGCCAGGATTGACCTTTATATTTCACTGCATGATTTTTGGTATAGGAAGATTCTAGCTGCTCTATCTTTTATTGAATTATCACAATCAATAATTTTGTTTTAACTTCTTTTCCAGGGGTCTGATTTTTATCTTTTACCTTTTCAGATTGTTTGTGCTCCTTTCTAAGGGTTTACGAGAAAGTTTGTGATCATGTTAGAGGTATTTTTATATCATTAAATGAGATTCTTAAAATCAGTGCAAATATTTGGATGTGATAGTCCAATTATTGTTGGTACTTTTCTTCTTATTGTTGCAAGCTGTTTATACTGAGCTTGTGCCTCTGTTTCATAGTTATGTATTGGCTAAATGCTAATCATTGTGATATATGATTTGGTTTTGCATGTGTTTGTTTTTTCAATCCCGAGTTCCTGACACTTGATACTTACGTGTTATTTGGGTTGTGGTGGCTGCATTTAGTGGTTGCTGCAATAAACATATCATAATTCCTTGTGTTGCTGGGAAGCTGTCCTTGCAATGAAAACTGTGGTCTTGTCACAAGGGATTGTTAACGGGCCCATGCTATCTCAATATCCTTCTTGCTGGCACACGAATGAGCAAGACTGTTCATTAAATTATATCATCATAAAGATTTGAGCTTGTATGATTATTACCTATTGGGAAAAGGCTCTTTTGCATACAACATAGATGGCTTGTGTTGCTGGAGAATTAGAATGAGGTGAAAGCAAATACCCAGTTGAAGTCTTGAAGAGAGATCAAAGTGAAATCACAGAGACAAAGGAAGCACCTCATGCATGCTTGACAGGGTGCCTCCCATAAGCCAAAGAGTGGAGTGGTGTATTATTCTTTCTAGGACTGGTAGCACTTTGGTGAGAGTGTCCCTTAGCCCATGGAATATTTATTGAGTGTTTGCTTGTCTAGCTGAATATGTTAGCTTAAATGTTTAAGCCAGTAGTGCCGGTTTCATTTTTGTCTACCCAGTTTGACAAGTGATATTGCTATGTTATAAAGTTATAGAGAAGCATAAGATTAGAATGAGGTTTAAAATTGAAAAACATTCTACACTAAGTTAAGGCTTCATTAGCTTTTGATGAAAACTTGAAAATAATGTTTCTTCCTTCCTCTGGTGTCGTCCATGAGATGCTGCAATTTTTCAGAGAATCATAAGTGGTTCTGCAGCGTTGCTTTCTTTGTATATTTAACTCATCATACAGTTGAGCACCCTGAGTCTAACTGAAGTGGAAACTATTTGTTTTGCTACTATAAATGTTTTATTTGCTGCTGATCTTATCGTTGCATGCACTTTTCTCCCTCTTTTTTCAAGTGTGGAAATTAGTGGAGCTTCTGTTCCTCCGAAGTTACCGTTAGCAGTTTTTAAGTGGTAAACTTGGTGCATGGCCTTCTGCAATGCCAGTTGGTCTCCTGAGCTGATAACATTCAGGATGCAAACAAACTGGAAGAGAACAGCTAAACGAAGGAAAAATTGGAAAGCTTCTGCTTGTCCGTTTTAGTTAACAGTTATGTGTCTGTCACAAAGCAATTTCTGCTTAAAAAATTATATATAATCGACTGCCCAAACTGTCTTTACTAACCAAGCAAGCAAAAAAAAAAGTCTATTTATAGAAGCAAACAAGGAAAGAGAGATTCAAATTTCAATCATAAAAATAGTTGCGACTATTAAATTTCAATCATAAAAATAGTTGCGACTATTGATTTTCCAACACCCTTAAGTACCAAAAACCACTAATAGCAAGCCTGAAGGATGACAGCAAAGCCAGCCCTTCAATGAGTATTTCTTCTCTGTGAATGGTTGGAACTGTTCTTTCTTCGTAGTTTAAGATTTGACGTACTCTGTTTTGAGCTCTTTCAATTTCTTTCCATGTGCAAGCATGATCCATACCACCTCTGTTGGATGTTTACGAGACCTGATCTCTGATTCAGTGGCCATGCTTGGAGCTGTGTTCATTGTTTGGTTCTCTTTTTCAACAGAACCTGAATCAGGTAGAGCTAACTCTGCAGCAGGTTTCTCATCCAAAAGTCTAGAAAGACCTGTGAAAGGCACGAAATTGTGCCATTCCTTGCTTGGCTCTTTGTTATCTAGATGAGGCACAAAATCAACCTCACAATCTGTATCAATAATGGAAATGGCATTAGATGGCTTGGTTTCAACTATATTAACTTGAAACTCCTTTTTATAGTCGACCATGATGGTGTCTCCAGTGGTGAAGCAAAAAAAGCTAGCACTCAATGTCTCTTCCAATGCAGCTTTTGGATTGAGCATGCTTGAGAAATCCATAGAGTGAGGTTGCAATATTATGAAGGTTTCCTTTTCTATGGTAGTATTCTTTAGGCGCACAGCGTTGCCGTTCTGCAGTTGCAAATACTCCATCATCCAATCCGGCATGAAGACTGAACCCTCTTTGGCAGTGAACGCATACACTCCACAATTCGAAACTCGTTTCTTCAATTAGTTTCGAATTTCAAATAGCATAGGATATTCAAATAGTGTGTCAAGGAGGAGCTCGAAAGCTGAAGCAGGCACGATGATCTGTTTCCCCTGCTCTAGGTGTGATTTCTCGACTACTGAGAGCGAAAAACAATGGTAAGTACGTTCAAAAGAATCATAATGTTGGCCGTATCGATCATAATATTGTGGAGAGGCTTGAGCAGTGTAATTGCTGCTGTTGCTGTCATCGTTTTGAACTTGAGAATCGCTGTGCTTCTTAGAACTCTCATTATGATCCAGAGCTTTAGCGGGAGGCTCCATCGATATTACTGCTTTCCTTTTCACCAGATTTTTGTGGACTTGGATAGTCCGGAAGAGCAGGGAGAGATGAGTTTTTCGTGGATATCACTGCCTTCGTCTTGATGACCTTCTTGTGAACTTTGATAGTCGGGAGCAGGGAGACAATTTAGATCGAAGTCATGCTTTTCGTGGTCCGTTTCAGAAGGTCGTTCCATGACGAACATGACTATGGCTAACCTACCAGACTAGCACTGAGTTTTTGAGGAAATGCTTTTGGGGACTTGATGTGTAACCTTCTATCTTTTTTACCTGGAAGAGTTTGAATTCTATTGAAATTAAATCTTCAGAATTATTAAAAAAACAACAACAACTAGGTCTTGCAACCTTCGGAAGCATGGCTTACAGGCCTATCACATCCCACCAATTTCACTCAACCATTCTTTCGCTGGGTTTATTAATGAGGCTATAGACCCAGGGCTAAAAAGAAGAGCATGGGCCATGCCATACTATGATTGTTTTTAGTATTAAGTACAGAGGTAACTCATATTTTGCCGTCAAAATAAAACACTTTAAAACTTTCTGAACTTGGGTAAGTTGATCAAATTTTAATAACTAAATCATGAAAATAACAAGATAATCTAATAAAATATAAAATGATAAAAATTAATTTAAAAAAAGTTGATTTTGAAAGATAAAACCAAGAAAAAATATTAAAAGCAATTCTTACAAAATAATAAAGTTAACTAATAAAATTTTCTATTCAAGTTATGAAATTAGGATGACCTAATTAAAAAGAAATCTAAGAAAATTATAAAGTCAATCTTTTAAAATAAACATTATTAAATTTATTTATGTAAATGTTTCTAATATTATCATTTTTAGTTTATATTTGACATGCATGATTGAATTAGTATGATAATAATAAGAATTGTTTTTGATAAAGATATTATTCTTGGACTGAATGTATACTTTTTATTTACAAGTCATGTTCAGTAAATACCAATATTATAGTACAACCACCATGACTATTGTTGTACATGAGTGGCGTTGTAACGTTGTGATGATCATCTTTCTGAATCAAGATTTTAAGTGCATGTAAAAAAAAAAAATTCTTTTTTTTTTAATGATTTACAAGGTTTGGAGTCGCAATTTAGTAATTTGGTTACTAAAAATCTTAATTAGTCTTTAGAATCTGGATAAAGGAACTAGTTATGTAGAAAACGAAAAAATTATTCTTAGTGCACCCTATTTAAGATAAGTTATATTATTTATTTGTCTAAATATTACTAAGAAATTATTGTGTTTTTCTAATTGTTAGTCTGTTTATTAGTTAAAACAGGTCTCATCCTAGGAAGGTGGATCATGACTTTATAGGTTATACATAGTTATTCTAAAAACAAAATATATTTTTTGCATTTGTTTCTTTTAATATCGAGAATACATTTCATATATAAGTTTATAATTATTTATATTAAAAATAAACAAATAAATTTTTTAGATGTTTTTAAAATTTAGACCAAACCTCTATAATGTTAATAAATTTGTTATTAAATTCATGATGTATGCAAAATATATAAAACTATTTTTTTAATTTCTTTTTGGTATTTTTAATAGATGCTAAATTATGCAAAATATTTTTTTCTACAATTCAAAATATTAAATATTAAAGGGTAGAAAGATATGAAAACCCCAAAATTAATTGTACAATGATCTTTTAAAAAAAAACTAAAATTTAATTAAAATTTAACTAAGGTTGTTTTTGGCAAAACACTAAAAAAATCATAGATTAGAAATTTGTTTGAAGAGTGTGTTTGCCAAATATGACTTAAAGATCCTAAAATATATATTTTTTAAAGTAAATTATTGCTTCACTAAACATATCTTTAACTCTTAAAAGATGTGGTCCAACAATATGAACTGGACTTGTTAGCCTTGTTTTTAAACCTAAAAACATGACACTCATTTAGTACCTAAAGATTAAAAATCAAAATGATAATTTTGGTTAAATCTGTTAAAGAAGATGAAAAACATGGATGAACCTAAAAATTTGATTTGAAGGTAGAAGCTAGATTATACCAAATCAAGGGCATTGAAAGATGTAACATGTAAAATTGAAAAAGAAATAAATGATGCATCATATAAGAAAAATAAATTATAAATTACCTAAATTAAACCCAACAATCACAAACCTAAACCCATATATTTAAATTTAATTATGATTGGATTATCCAATCCAAGTCTTTAATAAACAAATTAATGGCAAAGAATAATAGTGCATAGGTTTAGGAGTCAACTAAAGCATATAAGATAAGAAAACACCTTATTTATTACACATTTTGAAATATTTTAGCATCAAAGACCCACAATGAACTCATGATTTTTATTCTTAAACTTTAATGGTTCATTATTTCAAAATAAAATCTCTTTTATTACATGAATGACACTTCATATTTATTTTTTTAAGTAAACAAATGAGTTAATAGATGCATTGGATGCTTATTGTCTCTTTCATGAACAATCTCATCAAAGGATAATAATAATTAACAAAAATAAAATTTTTATAAAAATAACTGACACTAGAACATAATAAGATTAATATAAAATATAAATATTTATATATATAAAAAAGCTCTCATATGTTTTTTAGCTTACTCCTAATTTTTATTTTCTCATCTCATTGTGCACACATCACTCTACATAAAAGGTTTCCTTCATCTTTATTAATATTAACTTAAATATGAATGTTTTTCTAAATTTATTAAAAAACTTATTTCACGAGTAATGATATTTTGGTTTTGCACATGTAAAAATTCGTTTCACAAATAATGATATTTTGATTTTTCACATACAAAAATTCTCACACACATATTTATTTAACTAGAGAAGAATTCCAACATAAAAACCAAACCCCATGGTCAACTCAAAAGTGACCTCAAATGCAACATTATCATTAATGTACATTAGTTATATGTAGTCATATATCTAATAAATATATTTATAACAAGTAAAAAAAAAATTATATTTTTCTAGTTGGATAAATTCACACTCACATTATTGTTTATCAACACTTTTAAAAATGTTTGAATTTATTTAGGATTGAATTAATATTATTTTATATTTTTAAATTATTTTGATATGCTGATGTGAAAAATAAATTTTAAAAAATAAAAATATTATTTTAATATATTTTTAAATAAAAAATAACTTTTATTGTATTTTTAAACATGACATTAACATGTAAAGGATAAATAAAATAAATTGAAAGAGGAATTAAATTTTCTTTCCACTGCAATCAAAAGTTAAAAAGCACAAGCTAATTAAACCCATCCTCTATCTTTAGCCAAAAAGGCCCGACGCCCAACCAACCAAGTGGCAACAACAACAATTACCCTAATAAAACACAGTAAGGTCCAGTACTCTAGACCTTTCCAAAATCCCTCTTTTTCCTTGCCCTCCCTTAGCCCACACCTGACCTCAAAAATTCTAGACGTTTCCGAATCATCAAGAACAAGAACAAGAACCAACCCTCCATCCTTTCACCGAAAACAGTGGCTCCCTCTCTTCTTTGAATCTCTCTCAAAAGCCCAAAACGCTCCTGTATTCTCCTCCATTCTTGAATTTCACCAGAGAATCGTCAATGGCCAAGTACGGAGAAGGAGACAAACGCTGGATCGTGGAAGACAGACCAGACGGAGCCAACGTACACAACTGGCACTGGGCTGAGACAGACTGTTTAGAATGGTCAAGAAATCTCCTCTCCAAACTCCTCAACAACCTCACAATCCTCGACGGTGAAGGAAACCTCTTTATCAAAATCAACAAAGTTGAAAAAGTCGAGGGAGAAGCTTATGTTAATGTCCGTAAGGGGAAGATTATTCCGGGTTATGAGTTGCACGTTGTTCTTTCTTGGCAAGGCGAAGCCAAAGATAGTGAAGGGAACAGTTTATTGAAGGCAGATGGATCTGTTGAAATTCCGTACATTTCAGATGAGAATGCTGACGAGGATCCTGAGATTCGTGTTACGGTGAAAGATGAAGGTCCAATTGCAAAGACTTTGAAGGATGCTATGTTTGCGAAAGGGAAGCCGGTGGTGGAGGATAAAGTTAGAGTTTACGTGCAGACTATGGCGAAAGGTGGGCCAGCTAAGGAAGAATTGGAGACGAAGAAGGTGGAGAAAAAGGGACAGCCGGTGACTGGCGCATCGGTGACGAAGGTGAGTGTGTCTCCGGTGGTGGAGAAGAAGGAGGTGAAGAAAGAGGGGTTTAAGACTATTAGTTTGACGGAGAAGTTCAGTTGTAGGGCCAAGGATTTGTTTGAGATATTGATGGATGAGAATAGGTGGAAGGGGTTTACTCAGAGTAATGCGAGGATTAGTAAAGAGGTTGGAGGGGAGTTTAGTATTTTTGATGGGTCTGTGACGGGGAGGAATTTGGAGTTGCAGGAGGGGAAATTGATTGTGCAGCAATGGAGGTTTGGGAACTGGCCTGATGGGATTGTATCGAAGGTGAGTTAATTGTTGGTTTTGCTTTGGAATTTTGGTTGATTTAACGAACTGGTGATGAATAGACGAAAATTGCTGAATTGAATGGATTTCTGTTTTGTTTTTTCTATCCATTTTTTATAGGTACTTGGTTTTTTTTTTCTGTGATTAGGATTGTTTCTGAATTGTTTGAGACTGATTATAGTTTATGATTGCTCAATGAATGAATTTGGATGGTGATTGCAGGTAAGACTGACTTTTGATGAGCCTGAACCTGGGATTACTATAGTGAAGGTGGTGCATACTGATATACCCGAGGAAGACAGGTTAGTTCTTGTTTTGAAGTAGTAAAACTTTGTGTTTTAATTTTCTTTTTAATCAAGTTTTGTTGGTTTTTTTTGTTCTTTGGGCTCATGGTCTTTCGTATTTTGTTTCTCCTGTTGTTCATGCAGATATGGGAATGAAACTGTGGTGGAGAATACTGAAAGAGGATGGCGGGATCTTATTTTAAACAAGATACGGGCAGTTTTTGGTTTTGGCA